TACCAAGGCTAGGACCCTTGATGGCTCTTCTTCAAGTGGAACCAAGAAAGGTTTTGTCACTCCTTCTTCTGACCCTAAAGAGGCTGAATGCTTCTATTGCCATGAAAAGTCACATTGGAAGCGGAACTGCCCAAAGTACCAGCAAGATGTGAAGGATGGGAAAGTTAAACCCAACCATGCAGGTATTTACACTATCTTATCTAATAACTCACCCCATTCTAACTCTTGGGTCCTTGATACCGGTTGTGGTATTCATATTTGTTCTGATTTGCAGGGACTAAGAAGAAGTGAGAATGTGGAGCATGGAAGAATAAACTTAATCATGGGGAATAGGAAAGTTTACCTGTCACCAAGATTGGAGTTTATACTTTATCGCTAAGTAGTGGGTTTAGTTTAGATTTGAATAAATGTTGTTATTCGCCAGAAATGGCAAGAAATATTATTTCCTTTCATGCATTGTATAAACAAGGTTTCACCTTTTCATTTGATAATGAAGTTGGTTCGATTAATGCTTTCTTTAATAATGTTCTTTATTTTAAAGCATTACCTTGTGATGGTGTGTATGAAACTGTATCTGTGGTTGATAACTTAGGAAATAATGTATTGTGTATTGATTCTGTTAATGATAATAACTTGGATAAAGCATCATTATGGCATTGTCGTCTTGGACATATAAGCAAGAAACGCATAGGCCAACTCCAAAAGGATGGAGTATGGAGTCATTTGACCTAAAGTCAGATGATAGTTGCGAATCATGCTTACTTGGAAAAATGACAAAGTCACCCTTCACAGGTTCTTGTGAGAGGGGTGAAGGTTTGTTGGATGTGTGGGCCCTTCAAACATGCCACAAGGGATGCTAATCGTTATTATTTGACTTTTACTGATGATTACAGTAGATATGTATATGTCTACTTAATCAAGCATAAGTCAGAGACTTTTGAGAGGTTTTAAAGAGTTTGAGAATCAATTGGGCAGGAACATTAAGATGCTTCGATCCGATCGAGGTGGTGAGTATCTTAGTTCAGAGTTCCTCGACTATCTTAGGGAATGTGGGATTGTCTCATAATTGACACCTCCCAGGACACCGCAGTTGAATGGTGTAGCTGAGAGGCGTAATCGAACCTTGTTGGATATGGTTCGTTCCATGATGAGTCGAGCTTCGCTACCAATCTCATTTTGGGGGTATGCCTTAGAGACTGCCGCCCATATCCTTAATCTAGTTCCCACAAAGAAAGTTGCCAAAACTCCTCATGAGATGTGGACTGGCAAAGTACCCAAACTAGACCACATTAAGATTTGGGGTTGCGAGGCTTTCGTGAGACGCGAGACTCATGATAAGCTCGAACCTCGAAGTGAGAGGTGTATTTTCATCGGCTACCCACAGAAATCCTTTGGTTACCTCTTCTACAGACCTAGTGAGAATGTGGTCTTTGTAGCTAGGAGGGCTTTCTTTCGAGAGAGAGAGAGTTCATAAGCCAAGGAGACAGTGGGAGGCAAGTTGATCTTGAAGAAATTCAAGAGTCAAGTGGTGAAGGAACTTCAAACCCTAGCACTCAACTTGAGGAGGAAACTCCTGTTGAGCCAATTGACAAGTCTGTACCTCTGAGGCGTTCCACAAGAGTTAGGAATGCACCTGAGCATTACTATGGATTCCATATTACTGCGGAAGGTGATACACTTATCAGTGATGAGACACTGATAGGTCTGGATGAACCTAACAGTTACGCGGAAGCCATGGCAGGCCCTAAGTCAGCCAAGTGGAAAAAGGCAATGGACAGCGAGATACAGTCCATGTATGACAATCAAGTTTGGAACTTGGTTGAGAATGTACCAGGTCGTAAGACTGTAGGGTGCAAATGGATCTTCAAGAAGAAGACCGACATGGATGGTAATGTACACACTTATAAGGCACGACTGGTTGCAAAGGGTTTCTTACAAACTCCGGGAATTGATTATGATGAGACCTTTTCTCCAGTGGCCAAGATTAAGTCTATTAGGGTTCTGTTAGCCATAGCCGCATTTCATGACTATGAAATATCAGCCAGAGGGTTTTGTCAACATAGAGTACCCTAATAGAGTGTGTAAGCTTGAGAAATCCATTTATGGGTTAAAGCAAGCACCTCGCAGATGGAATCTTTGCTTTGATGAGAAAGTCAAGGAATTTGGCTTTTCTAGGAGTAAAGATGAATCTTGTGTAAATGTCAAGGCTAGTGGGAGTATAGTTAGCTTTTTGGTATTGTATGTGGATGACATACTACTCATAGGAAATGACATCCCAACTCTGCAGGAAGTTAAGTCCTGGCTTGGGAAGTGTTTCTCTATGAAGGACCTAGGAGAAGCTGCACATATTCTAGGGATAAGGATCTTGAGAGACCGGAGTAAAAGACTAATTGGACTTAGTCAGAGTACTTACTTGGATAAGGTGTTGAAGAGATTCGGCATGCAGGACTCCAAGAAAGGAGAGTTACCCATCCAGAGTAACGCCAGATTGAGTAAGACACAAAGCCCTAGTACTGAGGCTGAGATAGCATAAATGAGTCGAATACCTTATGCTTCGGCTGTAGGATCGATCATGTATGCTATGACGTGTACTCGACCTGATGTAGCCTTTTCTTTGAGCATGGTTAGCATGTATCAGGGGAACCCTGGCAAGGCACACTGGACTGCGGTAAAGAATATCCTCAAGTACCTACGGAGGACTAAGGACTGGGTCCTTACCCTCGGTGGGAGTGAAGACTTGAGAGTTGTAGGGTATAGTGATGCTAGCTTTCAGACTGATAGGGATAATTTCCGCTCTCAGTCAGGCTGGGTCTTTACCTTAAATGGAGGAGCAATTTCTTGGAAGAGTTCCAAGCAAGAGACAGTGGCTGATTCAACTTGCGAATCAGAGTATATAGCAGCTAGCGAGGCAGCAAAGGAGGCGATATGGCTGAAGAACTTCATTGGAAACCTTGGAGTTGTACCAGCTATTAAAGAGCCAATGGAAATTTTCTGTGATAGTGAAAGTGCAGTTGCCTTAGCCAAGGAACCAAGGACTCCTCATGGCAAAGAGGGTATCATCGGATGAGAATCCAGCAGATCCCCTCACGAAGGGACTGACTCGAGTTAAGCATCTCCAGCATGCTCGGAGCATAGGGCTGAAGGATGATATTAGATTTAGTAGTTAGATAACCTTGAAATTTGTAAAGTGTAATTGACATTAGATGATGAATAAAAGGTGTTTTATTTATGAGTAAAGTGTTGCTATCTCTTGTCGATCGTTTACTATATTTCTTTTGCATGTTTTGACTTCCAGAATAATTATGTTTGGTATATCATATTATTCGAACCTCCACAGTCGGTCATATGTCGGAAGTAGGTATGAATCAAGACTGTCATGATTGGTTGCAGAGGTCTAAGTTGTTGGACATGGCTACAACACTCATGAGTGCTCATAAGTTCTGAGCATTGGACTCAACCCACGCTCACTGGAATCACTTCATGGAATTTATCTCGAGTGATCGTGAGACGGTAATATCATATAAGTCTTCAAACCTAGAGATATGATTTATTACTTATGAGTTGGCTATGCATTGATTATACGTTAACGCATTGGTAACTCGATGTTATAAAACGTGCTTTTGTGTATAATTCAATGAGTGGTAGAACAAACATATGAGTCGAAGTTTATCTGTTCCTTCTTGGATTAGAAGCTAATATTTGGGCCCCTCGATGATTTTGTTTTGACCTATGTACCGGGCCCGGTCAGAACTAAGTTGATGTGTTCAATTAAGTTCTTTGTCAAACAAATCGGAAATCGGGAAACAAACTGCTGGACACAAAGTAAGACATTGTTCCATGTATTTGTCCGGCTGATATCTAGATAAGAGGATTATATGATCACTTATCTTAAATGGCGTATCATCATCTTCTCAGTTCCGAGAGACCTTGAAAGAGCTACGATTGCCGATCGGTTCCTGAAGTATTGCAGTTATAGTTATTAGACTTATCCAAGTGGGAGACTATTGGATGGCACCATGCAATTGGATAAACTAAAATGAGAGAAATAACACTTATGGTTTATTAATATATTATAAGTTCTAATATATTAATAATATTATTTAATTAGTTTGATCAAGAATTAATTTAGAATTAATTAAGTGATCAAAAGATAACTAATTAAATATATGGGTAGATTATGTAAATCTTCCATATCTTATATAGTGGGCTAAGAGGCTCCATGGATTATCAAGTTGGGTTCCACCCATAGGATGCTCCATGGATGATCCATGGGAGTTACAAACCCATGGGTCATGGAAATGAAGAGTCATGACACATTAGGGTTTACATGGTGTAACCCTAGATGTGTCAACACTATATAAGAAACCCACTCTCCACCAAAATAGGCTACACTAAGAAACAAGAGGGCTAGAGCCGATTTTGCAAGTGTAAGATTCTCTCAAAGTTTACTCCTTTGCATTTGGTGTTGTGTGAAGCATTTGAGGCATCACACTTGGGGTGCTAGGCTCACAAGGTTTCAAGGATCATAATCAACAACAAGGTAAGTTATTCTATCTTTCATTCAAGTTAAAAATGTTCCCCGTGTATGCTAGATAGGAATATAACCTTGGAATTCAACTTTGCATGATTATTAGACAAACATAGATCCAAGGTTATTAGGGTTGCATGTACACTTAGGAAATGTTAGAATGCTCAAAACCCATCAGTAACATCAAGTCAAAAACTAAACCAATAGGTGGATTTTTTCCCATGACTAGATGCTAATTCTATTGGTGGACATGTTTCCCACAATGTAGTCCTTGGGACATTTGGTGGTAGGGATCAAAATGAAGGTGGTAGTCCAGATATAACTCAGGTATGTTTCTCTTCTCCAATGGCCTTTTGTAAATGTTGTCTAAAAAGCCAGCATTGATCTTTTTGTTTTTTCAATTGTTATAGCTGATGAATATTGTCTGTTGGGTGTGTAAGGGTAAAATGGTCATTATTTTTTTGTATTATAGATGATTGGGGCAGTTTTGAATTCCTTTGGGGTAGGGGGTCAAAGTCAAACCCCCATTGGTGTATCACAACCAAATATGCAGGTGACACTTGTTCTTTAATTTTTTTGTTTCATTGTGTAATACACCTCTCGTATCTATTTTTTTTAGTTTTGATAAAAATCTTTCTTAATGATTTTGTTTACTTATTTACAGTTTAGCATTCCCATGCAAGTTACCCAAGGAAATGAAAGAAATCCTAGTCCTAGTCAATCACCAGCACATGTACCCACAATTGCTTCAGTAATACATCATCTTTCAAATTTTTTACTTTAATCATCCAAATCCAAAATTTTATTTTTCTATTTTCCATACAACCTTACTTTGTGCTCTTGGATTGTTTTTGTAGCCAATTCCTGATTCTTTGAAAACAATTTCTGATTTTATGAACCATATGGAGCAAGCACTATCACAAAATGGTACATAATAACTCATGAATTATTTTCTTAATAATACATAAATATTCCTTGTTAATTATTTGCATTATTTATTTGATATTTTACAGGGCATCACCCATCAGATATTAGTGCAGTAGAATTGCCTTCTAATGCTCGTGGCTTACCATCACCATCACCTTTGGCAGTTGTTATAAGACATACACAACGTCTTCTCAGTGGACCTGCTATTCATTCTTTATCAATATTTATCTCTCTATTCTATGTTTTTTATATTCTTACATAAATTCTTATTATATCATGTTTCTGATGATTTATAAACTAAAATTGTCCTTATAGAAAATAGCAACACATCTTGAGGAAGAGGAAGGTTGTACTGATGATGTCACAATGAGAACCCAAATCCAATCACAAGCCATGCAGTATGGGCTTGCAATGCAACATTTAGGTGCTCTTTTGCTAGAGCTTGGTCCTACAATGCTCACATTGCATATTGGAGAGTCTCCTGTATGTTTTTTTTTCTTTGCACTACAATAGTTATATATAAGTATTGACATTTAGTCATGTACAATTAAACTGATTAAGGTCAATATTTCAGGCTGAATCTTCTGTAAACGCTGGGCCAGCTGTTTATATATCTCCATCAGGTCCTAATCCTATAATGGTTCAGTTTTGTGGTCAACTCTCACTATATACACACACTTGTAAAATTTAAAAAAGAAGCTTTTTAAAGAGGTTAAGTGGAGAAGGTAACAATATGTTTGTTTCTTTAATGAATAATGAATCCACAATCTCCTTGCAGCCCTTTCCTCTACAAACCAATTCTCTTTTTGATAGTCATGCAAATGCAAATCCTGGGGCATATAGTCCTATTGGAATTGGAAGTATCCCAAGGCACATTAACATACATATTCATGCTGGTAAGTTAACTCAATTTACCTTCACATAAGCTATATATATATATATATATATATATATATATATACATATATTCTCATATGTATCTTTTTAACAGGAATAGGACCAAGGGCAACTAATTGAATCATCAAATCAAGCAAATGTTGATCTTCTAATGTTGTTCTTTTACAATGATGTTCTTTTATAGGTGGTTGGAATTGGACCTAAAGTTGGTTGCAGATATAAGAATAGTGGGTGCTCCAAATGCAGGAAAAAGATGTTTTTAAGTGTTATTAGTGTTAACATGTAGTGTTGTTTGACATGTAATGTTAGGTAACTTGTTTGACATGTGATATTTTTTTGGAATGAATTATCGTTCTTATGTATGGTATTTTATTTTGTATTATGATAATTTCAATCTGTTGTTTTATTTGAAAATTAGTAATTCTATCAAAAATATATATTTTTTTTAAAACATTTAAAATTATGACACGCAAATACGTGTCATCTTTATTTATGACAGGGGCTTTAATGATACGCAATGCGTGTCCTAAACGCGCGTCGTAAGGTTACGACACGCAAATGCGTGTCCTCTTTCTTTATGACAGGGCCTTCCTTGATACGTATTGCGTGTCATAACTGTGCGTCGTAAATGCATGTCGTAAATGCACGTCGTAAATAGACGACGCGCAAAAGCGTGTCGGCTCTCATTATGACAGGGCCTTCCTTGACACGCATTTGTGCGTCGTCTGAGCGTTTTACGACACACATTGCACGTCGTAAAAGGCTGTTTTTCTAGTAGGTCTTATGGCAAAAATTCAAATTCTCAAATTCGAGGTTATGGCGTCCTGACCAATAGCAATTTTTCTATCTCAAATGTGGCTTACGTAGCTGATCTCAAGCATAATCTGATCAGTGTGGCCCAACTCACTGATGCAAATCGGAGTGTTGAGTTCTGTAAGAAGCACAACTATGTTATGATAGAAGACCGAAAAGAATGTCTTATCCAATCGGATCGCATAAAGAATATTAATCCCTTAGAAATAAACATGATCATCGGATAGCCTCAACTTTCTCTACTATCAAAAGTTGTTCCTGATGTAAGTTGGCTATGGCATTGGAGGCTTGCTTATCTCAACTTCCAATACATGAATGATCTGGTTTCTGGTTTCTCAAATTTGAAAACGATCATCTCTTCGCTGCGTGTGAATGTGGGAAGCAATTAATGAAAGGACATCATGTTCTTATTGAAAAATCCATTTTGGAACCACTTGAACTTCTTCGCATCGATCTCTGTGTGCCATCTGTCGTAGAAAGCTTACATCACAAAAAGTATATTCTTGTGATTGTTGATGACTACACAAGGTTCACCTGCGTTTCCTTCTTAAGGCTAAAGTCAGAAACTACTTCTGAGCTCATTAATTTCATCAAAGTAATTGAAGTCCTGACTAAACTTCCTGTCAGAAGAACTCGAAGTGAAAATAGATCCGTGTTCACAAATGCCACGATTGAAAATTTCCTTACCGACAAAGGCATTGCACACAACTTTTCTGCTCCCTACACTCCTCAGCAAAATGGTTTTGTTGAAAGAAGGAACCGAACTCTAGTTGAAGACGCTCAGTAGATTTTGAAGTTTGCAAACCTTCCTCTTTATCTTTGAGACGAATTCATCTCAACAGCCTGCTTCACTCAAAATCAAAGCATCATCAACCTTCGTCTCAACAAGACACCATATGAAGCAATGAATGGTCGAAAGCCAATTATCTCGTTCTTGCACATTTTTAGATGTAGATTATTTATCAAAAACAACCATGATCAACTCACCAAGTTTCAACCAAAATCCGATAAAGCCATAATTTAGGGATACTCGGCTAAATCTAAAGCTTACAGAGTTCTGAATCGTAGAACTCGTGTAATTGAAGAAATCTTTGATATCACTTTTGATGATAATTTTGTTTGGAACTCAGTCCCTACTCATGTTACAACACATATCATGGAGTCCAATGCTCCACCTCCTAGGTCTCCAAATCATCAAATTATCTATGAAGTTGATTTCGAAAGCCTGTTCTGACCAATAGAAACTGCTCTTGATTCGGACTCTATCAAGATCGTCCTCAACTGCCACTCCTATTTCTCATAATGTTTCTGGTCCGACTCCAACCTTTCCTCCATTTGATTCGGATACATTTCAACCTTCTCAAGTTGAGGAGGAGAATTGTCATCCAACCCTTGAATCAAATGTCGATGGATTTCAAGATGCATCAGATCAATTCGTAGAAATCGATCCAATACCGAACAACAATGAAGATGATGTCAACTTCTTCTACTTTCCGAACGATGACGATGCTGACATATCCAGTTCAGAAGTTAAAGGGGAGCATCATCCTCAAATTCAAATTGTTCAGGGGGAGAAACACAACCCTATTGTTGATGTCGTATCATCCGATGCACAAGAACTTCAAAGATTGCATATTTTGACAAATGATCATCCTCCGAATCAAGTTTTTGGAAATCTTAACGCTGGAGTTCAAACTCTCTCTGCTTTTAACATTCAAATGAGTGTCACTTCTCAGCATTCAAATCATTGATTGAACCCAAATCCATCAAAGAATCCTTAGAACATTCCGATTGGATTACAACCATGTAAGAAGAGGTAGCAGACTTTGACAGAAATCAAGTGTGGAGTCTTGTCCCTCCTCCTCAGGATCACGTTATTTTTGGTACGATATGGGTCTTCCGAAACAAACTCGACAACGTCGGATTCATAATCTGAAACAAAGTGAGATTAGTAGCCAAAGGGTTTACTCAGATCGAAGGACTTGACTATGATGAGACCTTTGCTCCTGTTTCTCATCTTGAATCTATTTGAATCTTTCTCGCTTATGTTGCTCACAAAGGATTTAAAGTTTACCAAATAGACATCAAGAGTGCTTTTCTCAATGGTGAACTTGATAGTGAAGTATATCTTCAACAACCTCATGGGTTTGTGAATCTCTCATATCCGAACTACTGCTACAAACACCAAAAAGCTATGTATGGCCTCAAGCAAGCTCATTGCGCCTGGTATGAGACATTCACTGATTTTATAAATCGTTCTGGCTTTCAAAGAGGAATCCTTGATCATACATTATTCTAAATATCAAATGGAAAACATCTCATGTTAATTCAAATATATGTCGACGACAATCAACTGATCCGACGATGGTTGCTGACTTTGCCAAGTTGATGGTTATTCAATTCCAGATGACTATGAATCAAGAATTTAGATTCTTCCTTGGACTATAAGTTAAACAGGCCAACAGATGAATCTTCATTCATCAAGAGAAATATATTTCAAAACTTATGAAGAAATATTCAATGGAAACTTGTGCCTCTGCAAAGGTTCCAATAGGTTTCGGACACAAGATCTTCTAGGACCCATCCGGTGTTGCTGTTGATCAGAAGAAGTATAGGGGAATGATTGGATCGCTACTCTACCTCACTGCAAGTTGTCCCATTATCATGTTCTCTACCTGTCTGTGTGCTAGACTCGAGGTTAATCCGAATATGTCACATCTTTTGGCTATCAAGAAAATCTTCTGATATCTCAAAGGAACAAAAAACCACAGAATTTGGTATCCTGCAGATGAAAGTTTCCTTCTTCAAGCCTATTCCAACTCAAACTATGAAGGACTTTCAACTTGATAGAAAAGGTACATCTGGTGGTTGTTAATTTTGATGGAAATCGTAGGTTACCACAACAATGCTCTAAGCGGAAAAACAATTAACAATTAATCGTATTAGGGGACATGCAACCTAAGGGATCTATGTCTTTCACATAAGGGCAACATACTATGAATTATCAAACTATAATAACCCTAATGAAATTAGAATTCATGAAGGAAGATTACATACCTTTGATTAGTTATAGTAAATAAATCAGATCCAATTGCTCTTGTAGTCACTTGGAAGCTAGCACCGGAAATCTCGTGCCTTTGATGGTTCACACCCAAACCCTAGCAACAATAGAACACTTTCAGGAGAGAGAAGGTAAGGAGAATTTCGGCTGTTTCCTTCAATGATATGAGTGGCCGAAAATTGCAAGTGAATGGTCCTATTTATAGCTGAACTATGAAACCCTGATAACCCTAATTTGAATATAATACTATTATATTTAAATTAGGTAATTATCATACTTCCTGTTTATCTCTAAAGGACATTCTAGAAATCCTAGAATGGGTCAAAACCGTCCACCATATATGGATGGTTTTAGAATTCCTTTTTTTTCAACTACTGAACAATTACACCTTAGGTTCTTACACTTTTAATTAATCCAATTAATCCCAAAATTAATTCAAATTATTTTCTAATTAATTCTTAATTAAATAATAAAATTCCTAATTAATATATTATTTTCATAACATATTAATAAATTCATTTATTGCTATTTATTTATCATATAATAAATCAATAAATCAGTCTCTCTCTCTCTCTCTAAAAGCCATCCTTTTCAATTACTAGGTTTGAGGGCAACCTAAAATGACTTTGCTAATAATTCAATATTATACTAATTTAGTTATTGGCTTAGACACCTAATCCCACAAATTTTTGGGTGAAAGATTAGTTAGTTGGTCATCCAAGAAACAAAACTTTATTGCTCTTTCAACAGCTGAAGCAGAATACGTTGTTGCTGCTAGATGCACATAACAAGTTCTATGGGTGAAATCTCAGCTTTTGGACTATGGTTATCAATTTCAAAAGATTTCTATCTATTGTGACTCTCAAAGTGCAATTTCTATCTCTCACAGTCCAGTTCAGCACCCCACGACCAAGCACATT